TCATTATTGGTCAATGACGTCCTCGACTTCAGAGGGACCTAAAAATGACGTCATATTTCATGACGTCTTATTGACGTTCAATATTGGACGTCTTAATGACGTCCCTACAAAGTCGTATATTCGACCAAATAAGAAAAATCAGTCGCTTTCTTACTTTTTCATCGTTTGTTAATTGTACGTCCTAAATTTGTGTTTGTATATAGTGTTTTCGTGAGTACTGATGAACAAATTTATTTTCAGCCAAATTATGCATTTTTGAGGAATCTGCTGAAAACGGTCGATTTTCATTTTCAATTTGCCATATATTTATGAGAAAAATTGAATATACATACATTATGATCCACGTTTGAGTTATGACCATAACGACAATTTTTTTGAATAGAGCACCTTATATATATATATATATTACTCAATCTTTGGAATAACCATGGGAAGCGGAATTCGAAAATGTTTAACACAATCATGTGGATTGTATAGGTAAGTGCGTCCAATAAATTAGATGCTCTCGTGAAGTAGTGGATAAATTCATTATTATCCAATATCTATCTATCTTATATATTTCTGAGAAAACAGGAGAGGCTTTTATTTCTAATTCGTCATTTATACGGAGGAATCATCAAATATACAGGATGATACACGTTTGTAATATGACGTACACGACACATTTTTCAAACGGATATATATTATTGAATTTTCGTAATAAAATGTATATCGCACAAAGGGTTTGTATACAGGGCGTTCGTTAAATTCAGTTCTCTCGTAAAATTGGATCGCCAATAAAATATATAGATGACGTAATTTCTCCTACACGAATCATTCTGTATATATTGATTCAATATGAGATAACGCTTGAATGAAAATAACATTCTACGGCTTCGAGCATTATTCTCTGAAAAAAAATGTTTTTTTAATTTTCAACAAATTTATTCGCAACATCGCAAAAGAACTTAATTCAACGAACGCACTGTATACAGACTCATATATTTTTGAATCCAGACTCCAAAAATCGAATAATTTATAGGGTGTTCCTTTGAAAAAATGGTCGCGGACGTTGTAACTCAAACTTGAATCACCCTGTATATTCAATTTTTTCTCAATATTGTTGGTAATTTAAAATAAAAATCGACCTATTTTGGGAGATTCCTCAGCAAGGAATTGTATGGTTATAATAGTACATTGATTGCATGGCTACTTTATTTTCTTCACGCGAGATGACTCAATTTAACGGACACACTGTATAAAAACCCTATGTTTAATATTTTTTTAAATTCAGATTTCCATGAATATTCCAAAAATTGAATGTATCTTATATAGGTTATTATTATTGTTTCCAATTGAAAAAATTGCCGCGGACGTCTCAACTTAAACGTGGATCACCCTGTATATATATGATTCTTACTTTCAAATGTGGCAAATCGGAAATAAAATCGACCTGTTGCAGAGGATTTTTCAGAAATGGATAGTTTAGCTAAAAATAAGTTTATTAGCTTACATCTCGCCGACGCTCGCTACATAATTTTAGGTACAAATACGAGTAGCTAACGATATTCTCATATAGATTCATAGGTAGTAGCGATAGCGCTAGGATTCAACAGGACTGCCCGGGAGGACCATCAACCATGTTACCACAACGTATAGTTACAAAATGAATGTCATCAAAGGTTTGTGGTGTATTATCATGTACGAATAAATAATACCGTATATATATATAAAACTCCTAATTTTTTTTTTTCGTCCTTTATTGGTCATTCTGCGACGTCATTATGACGTCTAAGTATGACGTCATATGGCTGTGACATTTTGACGTCAGTATAGGGTCTCTCAGACGTCATTTCTGGACGTCCACTTCGTCATTTTATGACCAAAAAATGACGTCAATTGGACGTCACTCTGCTACCTGGGCCCCCCCCCTTCTTACAAGGCAGAGATTTCATAATCTATACTGATCAAAAGCATTTGACTTCTGCTTTCTCAAAGTGTTATGAAAATTCTTCGCCTTAGACAATCAAGATATCTGGATTTTATCGCACAGTTTTCGACAGATATTAGGCACATCGAAGGAAAATTTAATGCTGTTACTGATGCTTTGTCCAGGGTGGATACAATTGAGATTCCAAATTTTATAGATTTCAAGTTTTTTCAGCAAAAACAGAATGAAGACAAAGAACTCCAAACACTTCTATCAAACGCAACATCACTGAAATCACTTAATCTCACCAAATTAAGAATGTCAGATGAAGTCGAAATTTACTGTGATGTACATAACAATATCATCAGACCTTTTGTTCCGAAAGAACTGAGATTTCAAATATTCCAATAGTTGCATGGATTATTTCATCCTGGTATCAAAGCTCCCGTCAAATTACTGAAGAGTAAGTATATTTGGCCGAAAATCGAAAAAGACACCAGAGAGTGGACTCAACAATGCATTCCTTTTCAAGAGTCTAAAATTACCAGACACAATGAAAGCCAGATTGGACAATTCCAGTTAGCTTCTGCCAGGTTCGAACACGTCAACGTTGATATTATTGGTCCTTAACCTCCATCAAACGGTTACACTTATTGTCTTTCCTGTGTAGACCGATACACTGTATGGCCTGAAGTTTTTTCTATGGCAGATATCAAAGCAGAAACGAGTGCACTGCAGTTTTATAATGGATGGGTGACAAGGTTTGAAGTTCCTCTGAGGATAACAACGGACCAAGGTAGACAATTTGAGTCAAATCTTTTCAAAGAATTAGCCCGACTACTAGGAATTAAACATTTTCGTACTACACGTATCACCCTTGTTCTGATGGTATAATGGAAAGAATGCCTAGGACCTTGAAAGCTTCACTCAAATGTCACCGAAATAATAAATGGACCGACATATTACCAACTATTCTATTGGGAATGAGAACCAGTTATAAAGAAGACATCCAATCAACGAGTTCAGAGATGATATATGGAAGGAACCACTCTCCAAATTCCTGGAGAATTCATGATGCAACACCATGGAATTTCACCTCAGCTTGAACCAGTCCAGTTTGTTCGTACACTCAAGGCATACATGGCATGTTTTCATTCAATTCCAGGTTCCAAACATTGTAAAATGGGAAGATTCATTTACAAAAATGTGTTCAAAACCCCATCCGTTTTTGTAAGGGTAGATGGTATGAAGTAGCCCCTTCAAGCGCCCTATGTTGGACCCTTCAAAGTTCTCGAGATGAAAAAAAATTTAAACTACCTATCAAAGGACGAGGGAAGTTTATTTCGATTGATAGACTGAAACCAGACTATCTAGAGGATTCGGTGCAAGAAGATTGACTTCTTTTCCATATAATTATTGTCAAATAAAGATTTTTTTGTTTTGGGAGGGGAGTATTGTGGTGTAATCGCCATGTGATGAAAGGGATGAAGTGATTTTGTCATTTTTGACTTGTTAATCATTAAATATTAAATACAGTTCCTTCACATTGTGATTCATTATATATCAATAACATGAAGATCCTTGAATTCGAAAATTATTAATTTATAGTGAAATATCCCACCTGCTTTATTTACTAAATATAAACCTATATTGTAACAAGTATATATAGTGAATAGTCTGAACAAAATAGAGCTAGGTGGATACCTTTTATCTATTATAGTCGTTACGACACAACCAATATGTGCTCGAAACAGAATCTTTGAAACATATCTTCTTCTTCTTCTTCATCATCGGAGCACTGGTGGGCGGGTGAACACCCCTGCACGAAGGCCTCCTTGTTCGTGCCCATTGTACGCCCACATATTCCGACATTCAGCTGGGTAAGCCGACATTCTCAGAGAAGTTCAGCAGCTCCCTTAGCTGAATCTCTTTCACGTCCTCTGGCCTCAAAATTATGTTGCCAAGGACAGCCCTCCTCTGATATGTCAGTGCTGGGCACTCAGTGAGGCCATGCGATGAGGTTTCGTCATCTTCCAGGCAACATCTGCAAAGGGGATCATCCTTGATCCCAATAAGCTCTAGGTGCCTATTGAGGTTGTTGTGCCCCGTTAGAAGCCCCACTACCATTTCAAGGTCTCGCCTGTAGCGGGATAAAACCTCTTTTGTGATTGAAACATATCATTCAAAGTGAGTCCAGAACATTAACAAGAATTAGGAGTGCAATGTTCGAGAACATTTCACAGACAATTTTCTTGAAGTGTTACAGAAACATTCACATCAAAATATTTTTGATTGATATGTTTGTACCAAAAAAAAAAAAAAAATTGTTGGGATGGGAATGGTATTTAAAAAAGAACATCTAGGAATGTAATAGTATTGAGTGAATTTTATTGATTGGTTATCAACAATATCCAGAAGAGGTAATAAATTAGAAAATATACGTATATAGGTAGTGGAGTTTTTTCATGTCAGATGCGTTGAAAAACAGCGATAGATATCAACTCTGTTTTTCCACTGAAACTAATGCTTTTTTTATGAAATCTATAAATACATTGAAAATCAACAGGTTCCATTTGGAACATTTTTCTCAAAGAACGAAAATATGAACTATGTTTTTGTAAAGTTTTTCGTTACGGGTTCAGATATACATTTCCCGAAGTTGAAAAAAAGGGTTTCTACCACAACTTTATCATCTGAAAGAGTATAAAACTGTCTATAGTAAAACTTCATCTTTCAAAACATTCATTTTGTCCTTTCAATATTCAGTAAATGAAATAAATGGTTTCCAATTGCAAAATCGAAGGTGAAGCACGCAATGACCACGAAACATACCATGAAGGTTAAATACTGAACAATTTTACGGCTTGTTGTGTTTTTCTTTAATGCATAATCTTTGAGATATGTGACTGCCTCAAATAAAACGGACCACCCAGTCCCTGCTCAACTATTTTTTTCATTGTTATTTCTGTCATGAACAAATCCGTTCAATCGAACTTGATAGCTTTTACATCACAAATTCTGATTCAGTTTACAGCGCTATAAAAATCTCTCCGACACGCAAAGTGCATGGATTCTCGATATTAATAAATATTCAACTTCTCAGGATATCCAGCTCCTCAGGAGTAACGTGTAACCTCAGTTGCTTCTCGATAATAAGATCTTGGATCTGTGATAATTCAGCTGGAATATAGATGGCAGCATCAATATATAATGACTGAAACAAAAAAATCATAAATTGAGTCGAATAGTAACAACAGTGATGTAACTAGGTACTTGATCGAATCATATAATCGCGTGAGCTTAGTAACTGTGTTATCTATGAACCGTCTCATTTTTCACAATTCAATATTCCCCAGATTCTACGGAAATTACAGTGTTGCATGGAGGAAAGCTCTATAAAAACCTGTGTGAAGGAAAGTAGATTTTTCTCCAGATATAAGAAATTATTCCGTGTTTTTTTTTGTATATCGCTACTTCAAAGTTGGGAACCAACTCCCGGAAAGTCGAAACTTGTGCGGGGAGCGTGACCTACAGCTTATAGTGGAATCCGAACAACTTCTAGGGCATAGAGGTGCTGCCAGGATTACAACCATGTATCCCACATTTCACAGAAGAAGTCTCAGCCGATAGTCGGCTTCGAACCGACAGTACCTCCTCATCGAGATGGGCTATCTAGCGAATTTCAGCGCATAGATTAACTCGGCCATGGCGCCCACTATTGTAAGGTCCGTTCTGGAAATGTTCTGTTCCTTTATTCAAGGTCATCCGTTTCCGACGAGCGAGCGAATAATAACAAGATGGGAGAAAACATAATGTATCTAGGGTGTTTGAGAAAACCCTGAGCTAATTTGCTGGACCACCCCACTTTCGGTTTTGAGATCAGGTCACTCAGCTTACATATCAGATGTCACAGCTCACGTATGACGTATGACAGATGACGTTTGATAGATGATGTTTGAGAAATTATGAGTGAATGGATATGACGTTCTTTGATAGATATGCATCGCTGCCTCCACACGAAAAAAAAATATAACTACCAACACAAAAGCCTTTTTTCAAAAATCAGATGATGATGAGCGTACCATGTATCACAAATAGCTGGTTCTCTTCGCAAAGTCCCAAGGTTCTCGAGATATGGACAAAAATGAAAGGGGAAATAATCAAAACAAGAGAAGTTATCTATGCTATCACCCATTAAACTGTGTTACGGGTTCATTTTGCCGAAAGATCCCTTACCCAATATCTGCTATTCAATCATTGATTCAATCATTGATTTATATATACCATGTTGTCAACTCTCGAATCTCTACTCTATTCTTGACTCACATTGAAAATTAATAAAATCATTACCAGTAGCAAAACATTGATTTATTAATAAATGGAAACAATATAAATGATTCACCCTGTATGTGCCAACACAACCTCCACCTGTTCTTCTCAACGCACAGGCAATTAATAAATATATGAGAGTCAGTAACCTAGAAATAAATAATGGTTGAGTATCCTATGGGTTGAATATCCTATAAAGACTTCACTACTATATTCTTTGAGTTCACAGCAACTACTAGATGGTCCACCTTGCCACCCATCTCTGGATATATGATATCTGTCATCAATGCCATCTTTCAAATCACCTGTCTGGTTTGACACTTGACACTCTCAAATTTCCTACAGTGACTATTGGACATTCTTTGTCACTTTTTTGTAGCCATTTTGATATTTCTGAATCTCAGAAGACGATTTACGAATTTTCCGGAATTTCCAATTTAGGTAACCCCTAATCTGATAGATAATCTGGCATTTATTGGATGCTGATATAACAATCAACATAATTGTTGGAGCTCAATCAGTGCCGGTTTAACAGGGTTTTTTTGGGTGCAATAGCACCGGGCGGTTAACTTTTTAAGGGCGTACCGCTCTCTGACAAAAGTAATAGAATGTTAATATTTGTCGCATTTTTTTTCTCCATAATGGTGTCAAATGCAAGTGGTGAACGCTCTCTCTCTACTTTAAAAAGGGTCAAAACTTACCTAAGAAATTCAACTGCCCAAGAAAGATTGAATTCCTTGGCAGTTTTATCCATTAACGAAGACCTGCTCCTGCTAAATGAAGTAGATGTAAATAGTGTTATACAGCAGTTTGCTTCAATGGAAGCTAGAAAACAACCTTTCAGTTATTAGACCTTATGTTCCTAATTTTTTATTTTCAGTTATTAATGATTGTGATAACTGATTGGTGTTTCTTATTATTTTAAACGAAAGAATAATGTTTTATTTTTTAGTTAGTGTTCCTATTTAGTTTTTCTTCGTACCTGTTGTTTATTCAGACCAAAGAATACTGTTTTATTTAGTGATTTTGATTAGTTCTTAATAATATTTCTTATTTAAATCAAAGAATGCACATTTTTTGTTATATTTATCATTTTTCTTTTTTTTATTTTATATAGGTATGTACCAATACTAAGTTTCTTACTCATAACTCACGACGTGAGCAAGTTTGTAGAAATATCAATATAAAATACCGTTTAAAGGCCCAAAAAAGGGCGTGGCACCAAAAAATGTTTTGCCTACGACAGTATGCATCCGGCGGCGCCTGCGGCAGGCTCTTTTTTGGGGCGTTGTGTCTGTAGCAGCACCGGGCGGCGAACTACCTTAAACCGGCACTGAGCTCAATCAGCATTAGGGAGGAAATATCTCACTGGTTATTTAGCTCCACACATGAAAATCACTTTATACACCTCACAACATCAAGGTAGACGTGTTGAAAATTTATATGGCGCGCCGCAGTACTCGCCCGTCACTAACTAGCCGACGGTTAATTCAGTGTTACGATGCATATATTTTTCAAACGCCCTACTAAACTATACCTCAACTGTACATTTCAGTGAATATTAAAATTTCACATATATTACAATAACGACGGGAAGCAGAATGTGCACTTCCAATGCAAATTGGCTCGAAAGATAGTATCAATTCCTGCCACAAGTACGCTCAGTGAAAGTTATGATGTTAACCAAGGGCGGATTTAGGAAGGGGGGCACGGGGGCACGTGCCCCCCTCCCCCCAGACGGTATTTTACTGTGGAGATTCCATCACATACTCAGAAGCTAACAGAAAGAATATGAGTGAAACTCTTGTCTATTTCTCAATTTCTGGCTGGAATTGCGAATTTGGTTCCTTGCATTGCATCCCTTTCACGCACTTGCAAATGAAATATGAGCGGTACGGTCGGAGGAGAGCGCGGGTCGGAGTGGGGCGCAAGCCGCGCAGGCGCGGGCGTCTCACGTCCGAGCTCACGTCACGTCTCATCGCATTGTGAGTCAGGACTCAGCTCGCGACAGAAGCAGCCGTGCAGCGTGCAGGTCATAGCCGGCCGAGTTTTTCATGCGCTTGTTATAATTAAATTACGTAAACTAAAATACAAATTTCGTTGTAGCCTACTCAGTTCAGTTCAGTGTAGTTTTAGTGAGTGAGAAGTAATATTACTGTATGTAATAAAATGAGTGATAAAGACAGGAAAAGACAAAAGAGCATAAGTGCGTTTTTCTTCACCAAAAAACAAAAAACCGACGATGCAGTTGCAGATACAGGGAGAGGGATTGAGTTTGGTGGTGTCACTGTCCCATGTTCATCCACGCATGCGGCAACTACATCAATGCCAAAAAACCCATCAGCAGCATCAGCCTCTACTAGTTACATGTTGCAGGAAAGAGATATAGGTGGGTATCACAATCTTTGTTTATTTCAACATTTTATATCTTGTATAGCTCGAGGAAGTTAATAATCTATTTTTATTTCAGGTACACTACTAATCAAACATCAGCAAGACGGGTTAGTTCTTACAGACGAAGAAAGGTACCAGTGGTTGAAAGATACTTGGCAACCTACAACAGACTTCAAGTTTCCACTGGGGCGTGAGGGAAAAAAGAACCGGTCTTTTCAAATAAGCTGGTTAAAGGGACATGAATGGCAAGCATACAGTAAAATTTCTGGTGGCGGATTGTGCAAAATTGGGGATTCTTTTTGGTCGTAGTGAAGCGGGTACAAATGATGTGAAGCTGGGAAAATTGGTGTCGGAACCACTGACAAAATATAAAAAGGCAATCGAAACGATCACACACCACGAGAGCACGAGTTACCACCAAGCGAACGTGGGAGCATCTCAAAATTTTTTGAGGGTAATGGAGGGAAAATCAATGGATGTTGTTGTCCAAATGAGATCCCAGGAAATGAAAACTGTTGAAGAGAATCGTAAAAAACTTATACCTATTATAAAAACAATAATGTTATGTGGAAGGCAAAACATACCGTTAAGAGGTCACAGGGATGACGGTCGTTTAGAATCGGAAAGTTCTTACGGACACGGAGAAGGAAACTTTAGAGCGTTGCTAAATTTCCGAATCGATGCTGGAGATGAGATACTGCATGAACACGTAAAAAAGTGTGCTAAAAACGCTTCCTACATCAGCAAGTCGACACAAAATGACTTAATTGAATGCTGTGGGGAATTAATCAGAAACAAAATAGTGAGAAAAATTAAAAAGTCTAAATATTTTACTATTATAGCTGATGAGACCACAGATGTTTCTGTTTGTGAGCAACTAACTATTTGTATTCGCTATTTCGATGTAGATACAAACGAAATACAAGAAGACTTCCTAATGTTTGTCGAAGTCGTTAAACTTACTGGTGAAAACATTGCTCACCATATTTTGAAGGCGTTGGAAAACCTTAACCTGGACATTACATTGTGCCGGGGTCAAGCATATGATGGAGGAGCCAACATGAGCGGAAAAATAAAAGGTGTTCAGGCACGCATATCCAGCATTCAGCCTTTAGCCTTTTTTACCCACTGTGCAAGCCACCGACTCAACTTAGCTATTAGTACAGCCTGCACCGTACCCAGCATAAGAAATTCCGTAGGGGTTATCTCAAGTGTAGCAACTTTCTTTCGTGACTCAGCTCAACGAATACATCTCCTCAGAGAAGAAATGCAAGCTCATCTGCCAAAGGAAAAACAGAATACATTGAAAAAAATGTGTGAGACCAGATGGGTGGAAAGACATGAAGCGGTTTTGACATTTTTGGACGTCTTGCCATGTCTTCCTGAAATATTGCGAAAAATGGCTGATCAAGAGCAAGGAAACAGAAGAAGTGCTACATCTCCATTTTCGTTGCTCCAATCTATAATGTCGTCGGAATTTCTCATAAGCTTGGTCATCCTCTCTGATATTTTAGGAATCACGCTGTCCTTATCCCGATCATTACAAGCCATTGAAATAGATATACTTTCTGCAGTTCAGCTTATCAATATGACCACAGCAAGTCTGCAGAGGCAACGTGAAACTAGCACGGACACATTCAAAAAACTTTTCAATCAGGCTGAGGCCATCGCAAATGAAATTGGTGCAGAAATCACGGTCCGCAGAATCACCGGCCGTCAAACAAATCGGCCGAACATTCAGACTCAGTCAGTTGAAGAATATTACCGACTTTCAGTGTATATTCCTTTTCTAGATTATATGTTAAATGAAATGAAATCCAGGTTTCCTAGCGCTCCAATGCAAAGAATCGGACAATTGTAAAAGTTGCTGTCCCCTAACTTCAGCGACAAAGATGTAGAGGATGTTTTGCAAGGCGCTGAAATATATAAAGAAGACCTTCCTTGTTTTTTAGCTTTGAAGGGAGAGCTAAATATTTGGCAACAGATGAGAGAAAATATCCCAGTATCTCCAGCAAATGCCTACAAAAGAGCAAAGGTGCTGCCAAATATTAGAACTCTATGTCAATTGCTATGCACGTTTCCAGTGACTACTAGCACTGCCGAGCGATCGTTCTTCACCTTACGCCGATTGAAGTCATACCTTCGCAACAGGATGACAGAAGAGCGTTTGAATGAATTGGCTTTAATGTATATCCATCAAGACGTTGCGGCAAAAATGGACGCTAATGAAGTGCTGGACATCTTCAGCAGGAAGCATAAAAGAAAATTGTCTTTATTAAACATTTAATTTTTTGGATACTTTCATGAACCTTCATATATATACTTGAAGTTGTAGAAATAAACTTGAAGTTATTGTTGATTTTTTGCCCGTCTGCCCCTTGTGCCCCTCCCAGAAAAAAATCCTGGATCCGCCCTTGATGTTAACTATTGTCAATATATATACGTATACCTTCATGAGTAACATCGATCTCAAATATATTATATATATTATATATTAATACTTCAGTGCATCATTTTTTACGTATTCATTTAAAAATATTCATTTGTTTCGTTGTATGTTTTGAAATGATTCTATTAATATATTTTTTTCATGTACAACTATCTGAATATTGCCTCACAATGAAACGAATAATTGCTTTCCGCTCGAAGAAAATATAATCTAAATTGTAAGTAAAATTTTACACGACATGATGAGATTTTTGAAACATTCAAAAACTCACAAGTTTTTCGTAACAGAATAGGTGAATACAATTAATAAATACCATCATCACCAGATGAATCGAAATATATTGCATGTATTTTAATTTTATAGAAATATATTCGAAGTTTTATCAAATCTATTTGATTAAAAAACTCCTTCACAATGAAAAACTTCACTCAACCTGCGGAGGAGATTTGCGTATTTATTTTAATATTCTCAAAGCTGGTGCGTTCGATCTCAAAACTTACTGGTCAGAAGCTCAAGTTGAAAATGCCATGAGGTTTATGCATAGGTGCAATGACTACAAAGTGTTTCAATTATTGGTGAGTATCACTATGGAGTTCTTTTACCGTTCATCTTCGAGAAGAAAGAACTTATTATTATAATGGATAAAATGGTAACAATTTGAATATAATTACTACCAACGGCAAATAGCTCAAAAATATACCTTCAGCCATGGGCATTCCTCGACAGCAGAATAATACACATTGCGGCAGAGTTCAGGAGAAAAGTATGTGTAGACAAATTGTAGGTATAATCTCCAAACTAATCCACATTTTCTGGTAGTAACGCCCGAGGTGACTTTCTTGAACAATGACAACATTTTATTCTTCAGACTTGAATTGATATCATATTTGTCACCTGAAAAAGAATCTATTAAAAAAACTGCTCGTATTATGTTTCTTCGCTGCAGGAATTATTGAAAAAAGTTTGAAAAGAAGTACCTACCTACCTATCTTATAGAGCGTACGTGTCTCACTTTCAACGCTCCCCCTCTCCTATATATCAGCTATTAGTAGTTCGATTCTCAACGAATTTAGACTGATGTGAATAACCATATCAATATGAGCAGTTTTGCAGAGACAATCATTGTTATATGTGTATTCAGATCATTCTATACAGGGTGTCCCGTAATTACATAGAAATATTTTGAACAAAAATACTAAATTCATATAATCATGAGCCCAGAAATGCTCCCCTGAGGAGTTATAGCCATCTAAAAGAGAATTGCTGGTTTTTGGTAAATATTCCCAAAACCCTCTGTGGCTCTATTTCTTTCCAAGCCCGATTTTCAAATGTTGAGAATTTTCCGAAATTTTTATCAGGGGCGTGGGAGATAGGTGAGGCTAAGGGCATTTCTTTCCCCAACTTTATTTTCAATGCAATTTTCGGCAGTTTGATCAGGAAATATGAAAATATCATAATTTTCACTTGAAAATAATACCCCTGTTCAGTTTCGATAGCACTCACTATTTTCGAGATAAATCGATTTTGAGAGTCTGCTGCGTAACAAAAATAGTGCTTTTTTCTTCCCTGGCTAGGAAATTTTCTCAGAAATTATTTTTCGATAAAAAATACCCTTTTTCTGACCACGAAGGGGTGCGAAGCCTCAACTCGACGGGTTAATCTCGCGGGGACTGCCAAGGGAGGTACAATTGTTGATATTTCAGGAGAGCATCGTCCATGAAAATATCTATAATATAGAGCCAGATCGCCAACTTTTCTACGGTGTTCCAGAGAAGTGAGTGAGTTTGTGAGCGAGGCATCACCCACGAGACGAATTGCCCTTTTTTGGACAGATTCCAACAGTTTCAGGGTATGTTTGGGTGCTGCACTCCGAATATGGGAACAGAATTCCGGGACAGGTCGTATCTGTGCCTTATAGATCATGAGCAGCTGACTGGAAGTGAAATAGCTCCTGACCCGAAACAGAAAACCAAGTTTTTGGGATGCACTTTTAGCAATAGATCTCACGTGATTTTCCCAAGAAAGGTTATTGCTGATAGTAATACCAAGCATCGAAATGGATGTCTTCAAAGTTATGGTTAGTCCTGACATGCTATGTTTGGCACAGTGAGATCGGCTTTTCTAGAGAAAAGGCATGCTTGTGGTTTGTTTGCATTGAAATCAACCAAGTTATTGGATCCCCATTCAGGAATTGTTGCCAAGTCCATATTTATGTTGTCAACATTTCTCCCTCGTTCGTTTCTGATTTGCCTGGCTGGTATTGGAGCCCTGGAAAAGAAGGCGGTATGGAGGGTACTATCATCCGCGAAGGTGTGTACTGGATATGAAGTTGCTCCCAATAAATCGTTGATATGGAGAAGAAATAGTGTTGGTGCTAGAATTGATCCTTGCGGAACACCAGCTTTTATGGTAAGAGAGTCAGATGAAACTCCATCGAATACTACATGGAGAGACCTGTTTGAGAGGAAACTAGCTAGCAGAGAACATAGCTGGGGAGGCAAGCCATAAGATGAAAGCTTGGCGAGGAGACCCAATAAAATCTTCCTTATAGAGTACGTTGGCGAAAGGTGATCTCGGGCATATGACTGTCAATTGGCGTTATGTTTGGAGGTTGTTTTTCCGATGTATCCAGAGTGGAATTTCCTGCAAATAAATGCGCAAGAATGTTGGCTTTCTCCTGGGCAGTTGTGGCTAGTGTTCCATCTTCCTTGGTTAGAGGAGGAAACGAGCTGGAAGTGAAGTTTCTTCCTACAGCTTTGGCGAAGGACCAAAATGAACAGGATCCGTTAGGACATTCAACAAGTTTTGATCTTATTTTGGCATAATGAGCATCCTCTGATGATCGAATTGTTGGAATCTTTCTATGTAATTTCGGGACACCCTGTATATTATAATTAGAACCTTGTAACCAACGGGATAAAATAAAGATCAGAGTCATTCTGATATTCAAGATATAAACTGTATTTCATTGTCACTTAATTCATTAAATGAATATATACTATGGCGCAGTCACCAGTGCAAGAACATTAGATTTCATCCTATTCGGAAATATAAGCAATTATATTTTTTTATTCCTTAAATAGAATCATCTCTCAAATACATTTTAATTTCATATTTTTTGAGAATTTTTTATTCGATTTTTAGATGCCAAAATCATAAATAATGCAATGGTAATTTTCAAACGGCTAGAAATCTACCGCCAGTAAAAACTGACGCCACGATTAGCACAGTTGCCATTTGTTGAAATACGCTTGGGAATTTCAGAAATATTAGTAATTCGATAATTATTCATGAATTCTCAATTGAGTATTGGTAATACTCATAATTAGCAATAAAAATTTAATGGTCCCAAAATGTCCCCTTATTCACACTAGAGGACATTTGAATCGAACGTGACAAACACGGCGCACGACTTGTGGGCGTGGTCTTGTCAGTTCTCAGCATTCAGCACAATGTTGCCAAATCTCCAACATTCACTTGATATGTTGTTATGGAGAATAAGAAATATTTGGACATGCTGGTTGCTCGAAAAAGTCAGGAATGAACTATAACATCATGGGTTCCTCCTATTATATTTCATTCAACGACAGAATTCTAACATCTTTTTGATAACTTGATTATAATTGGTGACTTGACAACCTTGCTTAATTTTTTTTATGTTCTGCTTCCCACGAAACAATATCCTGTAATGTTCATAGAACATCGTGAGAACCAAGGTAAATGAGGTAGGAATTGGTGTTCTGCTTAAATTTCTGGAGGTCATATGCCTCGGGGAACACCTCCCTTGCAATGTGTTCCAGAGCCTCGCAGTTCGTTGGAAATGGAAGATTAACTGACCAATAACAAAAAAGGATAAAAACACGTCACCAATCGCCAAATGGCGGCCATGAAGGTTCGTTTGAAATGAGCTATGAAATTCGACAATTTCGAACAACGCATAGACTCATTATTTACATAAAAAAAGCGTGAGAAGTGATGCGAAAATTGATTCAGGTTCCTAACGACACAGTGGAGTAATTGAATGCCAATAATTAATTATCAGTTCACTCGTCCATTGAAGAAATAATGAGAGAAAAATGGAAATGAGGAAGAGAATTGGAAGTTATGGAAACAGAAATTCCAAAATTATCTATTGGCAACTGAAATCAACAATAAAGATGAAATGGTACAATATGCTATGCAATTCAGATATACAAATATTTCCATATGGAAGAAGAAGAACGGAACAAAATCATTATCATTTCTGAAAGATTTGATGAATATTTCATTCCTCAAAAAAATGAGGATTTCGAGATTTTTTGAACACCGTCAAGAGCAGCAAAGCATCTAACAAATGATAACAGAGCTGAAGAATATGATGGCTATAGCCAATGTGAGTTTGGAGACCCCCTAACGTCAACTATGTCGGTAATAGTAATCAAAGATAAGGATTTGAAGAAGAGATTGTTACAAGGTAAAAAAGGCATGAGTCTTGATGAAGCTGCTAAGATGTGTATAATTGTTGAGAGTACAAAGAAGCAAACAGAAAAAAAAAAGAAGTGGATAGCTCAGAAATGTACGAGCAATCAGAAATTAGATCATCAGCAAAGAAGAGAAGTGAGAAATAAAACTAGTATAATCAAATCAATTAAATCAATCAAATAATGTATCAGGTTTGGTAGAGATCATGAAATTAACAGATGTCCTGCATATGGTAAAACTATAAAAGAAATAACCATTTTTCGAATGTTTGTAAATTTAAGAATGATCAATCAGGTGAAAATGTCAATTCAATTAATTCAAATCATGATGGTACATCGGACGATGGAGAATATTCAGTGATTAATATTGTAGATCTAGCTAAAAATGATAATAATTCAGATATATCACATTTGTTACTAGATTCAATTGATTATAATACACGTTTCGATGACTGGACAGTTGATTTAGAACTCAATTTTAATGATAAAAAATCAATGAAGATTCCTTAGAAAAGGTCGTATCATCTTCAGTAGGTGATTTGAAGATAGCTCATAGGGTCAATGAATATTACTTAAATGTCAGGGGTACTGAACGTCAAAAAGTGAGACCAGCAGCGCAAATGCTTTCAAATACCATGTCAAAAGCTGTAGAATGATGTGAAAGAGAAGGGCTTTTGAATAATACAAATTGGATCGAAACGAGTGAATTTTTGAAGTTGTGCAATGACTGGTTTGATGTAATTCATGTTCAGAGTAAGTACGGATGTCATTCAGGAGCAAATGCCTTTGGAGTCGATATTGAACAATTTTAGAACAACAATTAACAATACTCCAACAGACCAATGATTTCATTTCAAAGATGAGAGTTGGTAAGCACGCAAATTTATTACCCTTTTTAAAAGGCATTCTTCTTAGCAACCACTCTTTCATAGAGATGCATGAATATTTGACAAATAAATATTCTATCGAATATATATTGACTTGAATCAAGACATATTGGAAAATTTGTTTTCATAGTTGCGTGCCATGGGTGCAGCAAATGACCATCCAACTCTAATATCGACTGAGATGGTACATCCTTGGCAAGCATTCACAAGCTATATTTTCAGAAAATAAAAATACCGAAGATAATAATGAACTCTGCCTCATTGCACCATTGACTCATATGAAAACTATCATTCCAGAACAATTTTAGAACAATTTTTTTTTTTTTTAGGTGATATATATTTATCCAAGTCAATACTGGATGGAATAGAGGTGGTAGATTCATCACTAGATGATATCGGATTCACTGAAGGAATTGAGAATATATCTTTCATAGAACCTGAATACGACAATGACGATGAACAAAATGTTGTGGAAATAAAAGATTTTGAAATTGATGAAGATCATGAAAATCTTTTGAAATCATTGGAAAGAAATAAATTTTCAGATACTATACAAAATGAAGGGATGAAGTTTATAGCTGGATATGTTGCATATAGATTCAAAGACAAGTTCCCGACATTCGATTTAGGTTTGCCTGCGAATTGTAAAGTTTCTTCTAAATATCCAGATTGGATAGAATTTTTGTCTAGAGGTAATCTTATGTACCCAAGCGATACATTACTTGATATTACTAGAATTTTAGAAATTCAATTCAATAACTTCCATGCTAACACATTCTCTGGTGATATGAACATTTTTAATAAACTGGCTGCTATGGTGTCATTAGCATCCCCTCATTTGACTTCGAAGATTCCCAGAGAAGTTCTACTTTGTTTGATAAGAACTTGAACTTACATTCGCTTGAGAAATATAAATGAAAAAATTAGTTATGATAATTGCAGAAGAAAATTGCAAAAAAAATGTCGAAGTTCACGAATGCGAATAGGAAATAAATGTGTTCATATTTGTTTTATTTCAAATTATTGGATATCATCTTCATAACATCTTTCAAATTATCGTCCCGAGTAGAGCATATTCTGCAACTTTGGTATATTAGTTCGAACCATTGTCGGTCTAAATGAAAACCTATAGGCGAGGTATATATTGTCTGCTCATTGGATGGAAAATTGCGGAAATCGCCATTTTTGACCGCATTCTCAGTAAGCCCGCGACCTCTATTTCGAACCAAGTTATTCATTTGTTATCCTAACCTAAGATTAACCCTATAAATTTTATTCCGTATTCCTGTCAAGTTTTTTCACAAAGATCACTCATGTTGAAACATTATTCATAATATTATAATACACTCACAGGAACTATACCTATCATGCATAAAGAAAAAACTGCTGTTCATGCCATAATCACATTGATCGATTTTTTGATGCTATTCGAATTTGAGTAGGAACTGAAAACTCATCAGTGCCCTGTGCACTTTATTCACATGATAGAATGCTGAGTATGAAAAGGTAGGAACTGCTTATTTTCCTCTTTATGCTTGATAACTTACTACTTATATACTTATAAATTCCGTTATTTTTGCAAAGAAGGAATATCTCTCTTGAAATAAACAGCTTCATTTCGAAAAGTCATGAATGATAAATACAAAATCGTCAATGTTTCAAGAATCCAGGAAAAATGTGTCAGAGGGATGATTGAAACAAAAATGGTTTCCATATTGGATGAGGATAAAACATTATTTATTGTAGAAGCAGGAATGTTCAGATTCAATTTGGTTCTACCTAGAAGTTGAGCTTCATAATTTATTAATATGCAGTCCCTTTTGTCATTATAACCTCAAGATTCGAATTTAAAAATTGTAATTTGTCTGAGGTGAAGTAGGTCACATAAAAAAATGTTCACTTCTTTGGTTCTGTACTCTGATATTTAAGTACAGTGTTGAAAAAATAGGAGAAGAAAACTTCAACCTAAAAATGTCAATTTTGATAGAAACAAATGAGGTCTCGCCATTCTCAGTACAACAGCGCCTCTTTGACAGACAAATTTTGATTCAGTGAACAGACAATATAATATACCTCGCCTACTAGGTTTTCATTTAGATCGAGAATGGTTCGAACAATGGGGAATTCATAAACATTAAGTCAATCAATTAATTATTTGCTGTCATTAGATCTTTATATTCCCTAATTGTTCATATGCATCACTGCGCATAATGTTTTGTTATAATATAAGATCATCCGAATTATATAGTATGAGTATAGGCGACTGAGATTAAGATCGTAGCGCCAGAACGGCGAATGTCGGTACTACTCTATGGGCCATTGGCGGATTGTTTACATTGTTTGGTAATGGTGTTTATGTTCATTTCGTTTTGAGTTTTCAAACGTCCAGCTTTGTTATTTGTCTATTTTCGAACTTTGTATTTTCCAGCGGTCTACTGTGTTTTGATTGAGGACTATATCATCTCTGGTCAACATTAGATAACCTCCCTACCTCTAGTTGAACTTCATATATACCAACATGCATAGGCTGTAAGTTTTTATCATTATTGAACAATAATTCTCATGAAAACCTGTGTGGGATGTTGATTTCCAATTCGAATATATAGCTGGGGTATTCCCCTGATAGTGCATGATATTTTTAAAACACAATCCAGCAAACTTTTTGGGAATAAAGTGTTCTTTGGAAGGTGAATTTAGGTAAACAGTTTCTACTTGACTTTTTACAACATAATCATCGAAACCCTGCTTGATAACATTCTTTAACTGTTTAAAAATTCTACTGTTCATGAGTAAAGATATAATCAGTTTCAGACACTTTACACTTTTTCCAATCTTCAAGTTATGAATCCACACCTTTCTCCTACTGATCACTTCCTTGTTTCCCAAATTATCAGTTTCAAATACAAATTTAGACTGTCCTGATTTTTGAAAGGAATGAAAGCTATACTCGGGATTTTTTTGCTCAAGATGAACAATGAGGTACACAACAATGATGACTCATGTTTTTAAATGTTTATAAAAGTTCTCAAACAAAATTATAGACAATTAAAACACAACTACTTCTCATACAAAATACACGCAAACTAATGTAAACAAAGCAATCAATGGCCCATACGATAGTTATATTAGACAACGGTAGAGGGGGTACTCCTTAGCATGAATCGCCTATTCTGATGGAGGTAGAACCGAATCCCATAAAAATATAAAATGCACGCCTATGTCCGCCCTCTTGCGGTGTTAGATGGTATCACCACGGCGAATTGACAACCGCGAGCTGACCAATTGTTTTACTCGCAGTGACGTACACAAAGATGCGTGGTAGCACACCATACTCTATTTTTACCATGCTCCCATCAAGATTTTGTTCTGTAACCGCCTTTTCATGATTGCGCTTGTCATGTGATAAGTGTCGTACCTGGCAATCGGGTTCAGTTTTGAAATGTTTCAATTCATGTTAAAGTTGGGAATAATTCACAAATACAGATTATTCACAAACCAGTAGTCATTGTTAATAAGATAGAAATCTACACTGGCGACAAGGATATTCATGATACACAGCAGTGCGGGATAAGGTTTAGTGCGCTGACTGCGGAAGGTTGAGAAGCGAGTGAAACTAGGTGTGGTTCAGTATCAGTATTCATTCTTGATTTCAGTCAATAGTAAGTCATCGATCATGGCAGATAGTGACGGACTAACAAACTTCAATATTGAACAAGACCCTCAATCAGCGGGAAAAAATGGCGCAAATGGTTAAGATCTTTTGAAATTCATATTCATGCTATTGGCCGAGCAGATCTTGGTTCTCAAGTACAGGATGTATTCTTCAATCTGGCATGATCAACCATCAAATGATGTGGAAGACGGTCAAACTCCTCAAAATGTGTACCAACAGTGCGTGACTTTATTAAATGGCTATTTTCTTCCTCATGCAAACCAGCTTTTTCAGACCGAAAAATTCAGATCTATGCTCATGGGAAATGAAAGGGTAGATGCTCTCTTTGCACACTTGAGAGCGCAGGCAATCCTGTGTGAATTCCAGGACATAAACAGAGAAATGAGGGATGAATTCAACAAAGCATGCCCATGACCAGACCTCAAGAAGGACCTTAATAAAGGAGCTCTATACAACATGAACTAAAATGGCAACGAACACAAGATATGGCTAGACTTCAGACTAGTTCAGCCGATATGATGCAACAGGTAGTATGAACAAGCTGAAACACAGGTCCTAGATCAAGTACCAATAAACGTTGTTTCAGCTGTGGTTCAGTAGCACACTTCAGATTTGACCCAGCATGTAGACCAAAAGGTGTTACATGCACATTTCCAATCTCTTTTTTTATGTTCTGGTTGCCACGAAAAGGAATATCCTGTAATGTTCAGAGAACATCGTGAGAACCAAGGAAAATAAGGTAGGAATTGGTGTTCTCGAATTTCTGGAGGTTATATGCCTCTGGGAACACCTCCCTTGGCGATGTGTTCCAGAGCCTCGCCAGTTGATGGATGAACGAGTCTTTGAAAAGAGATGTTCTGCAGGTCTCCAAAGTGACCACGAGGGGTTCGAAGCCTCAACTCGACGGGTTAATCCCGCGGGGACTGCCAAGGGAGGAACATTTGTTGATATTTCAGAAGAGCATCGTCCATGAAAATATCTATAATATAGAGTTTGAAACCCAAAAATCAACAAGGGGAGAAAAGCAGCAGAGAAAATAGCAATAAAAATAAATTATACAGAAGACATGAAAAAAAGCAGGTTAGAAATGTGGAGAGTGATTCATGTGGAACTGACACCACCAATAAAGAAGATAATCTTGATAAAGCTCCATATGGCTACCATGTAAATCGAGTGGATGAAATCACTGATGAACTATTCACAGTTACAATAGGCAAGGTTGACAACAGGTCGTGGACTCAGGTGCAAATGTTAATATATACAGCAAAAAATGACTGGGCATGGTTGAAAATCAAGCAAAATCAAGTGTGAATCAACAAGAGGAGAACCTCTATTGGGATATGGTGGCCATACTATTAGAGTTCTTGGTACTTTCATTGCAAATGTTTCAGTTGGTTATGGAACCAAATTGAAAAATGTGAAGTTCTTGGTTCACACGGGTCTTAGGCTTATTGAAGATTGGTCCAAATTCGAATGTCAATAAGTTGGAGGACCTATATTCTAATAATTTGTGTTATAAAACCGTTCCAAACCATTTTCCGAAGCACTTCAATGGTGTGGATAAACTCAAGGATTACAGCAACTCGAAGTGAATAAGTGAGTACCTCATGTGATTCAGAAAGGAAGGCAGATTCCGATTCATTATTATCAGTCCATGGAACAAATTCTACAAGATTATTTGAACAATCACATCATTCACCCTTCTCCGGGTGTCGACTTGGATTTCTTATAGTCATATTGTAGCCAAACCTTCATCTTTACAGGCGGGAGACACCGTTCTTTTTCGAGAAAAGAGGGAAAACAAAGTATCAACCAGGTAAAACCCAAACCTTATGCCTGTTATTTCATGGAAATGTTTCATTCTTCCATCCCTTCCTTCGGTTCCACCTACGCCCACCGAAGCCAACCCAGTAGACAAAACCCAGCAACAGGAAACTGCTGTAACACGTCCAGCTTCTACTCCTAGTTGTAGTATGAGTCCAAGAGCTCCAAGGCAAATCATTGATGATTCTTCTCGAGAATGCCCTCGACGATATCGTCGAGCTCCTGACTATTTATCAGAATATTTATTGCAAAAATGTTCCCATATTTTCAATGTTTTGTCCTCAGCTCATTTATTATTTCAATTTCTGAAGAGGAGAGGGGTGTCGGAGTTATACTCTCATCGAGATTTTGTTCTGTAACCGCCTTTTCATGATTGCTGGTTCAGTTTTGAAATGTCGTAGTTCATGTTAAAGTTGGGAATAATTCTCAAATAACGATTATTCACAAACCAGTAGTCATTGTTAATAAGATAGAAATCCGCAGTGCTCCAAGGTGGAAAACTCAAATGGAACATAATAAAGATCCAGTTTTTGAAATAATAGTGGAAAATTGAACAAAATTTTCATATTATAAATAATTTAAGATTGCCACATTATCACTAGCCCTAAGGTCAGTAGTTTCTCCTGAAAAGAAATGAAAGAGATTAACTCTTAAGGCATTGGTTGGTATTAGCAAAATCAATTTGCGACTTCAAAAACCTGGCGGAATCAAAATTATTCAATTTTTCCTCTAAAAATATTGTTTTCTCAGAATATCTCGATATCGGCTAATTCTGAAAGGTGCATTATCTACGAAAATGAGGGGAAATAATTCAAGTCCTGATGGAAATTCGCCAAACCACAAGATAAAACCTCGGATAAAACGCTATCGATTTTTTCGTTACTCCTTGCGAGATTCTTCAATCTCTTAGGAAGCACGAAAGGGAATATGTCGAGAATCATCGTACGCAATTAAAGAAGATAGAAAGAGATAGTTGGTATTGGAATGTCTTTTGAACTTTTAGAGATTGAAAGTTCTTGGTAATGCCTCCTTTGGCAAAGGATTGTAACAGGACGTCATTGTATAGTGCGAGGTTCGGGTTGAAAAAATTTCGGCGAGTTGCGCTACAAATTGGCAATTGTCGTGTTGGCTGAAGAGGCATTGAAAAATGAGTTGAAGTTGTAACAAAACCATTTTTCCTGTCCATCATGACGAAATTACCTACTTTGTATACGCGCCAAATGTATGTACGGATATCTATGTTCGTCCCATCGCTTTGCGTCTACCCTCGTATTTTGGAATCCCCGCGTCTAGGAGTTTTTATATACAAGGTGTTTTTGTTGTGGAAGCGGTTAACGCCAGTTTACCCAAGGCTGTTGCTTAAGAACTTTGTGCCGATTGGCTTCATAATTGTGTGGGAGGAACTTCGCCTGGTGGTATATACTACTCCGCGTACAAATTATTGCATTACGGGTTGCCTAAGTGGTCCCAAAATTCCCATTATGGGGAAGACTATATAAGTATCTCCCGCATCTCGTCTATATCGCAAAAAAATGTGGCAAAAAGTAGATTTCAAATCCTCGAAGTTGGAGAAATGATTCGCTATCAGTGAAGCATCATCATTGTGTGGTCCATTAATTATTTATTTCGGATTCATAGTGACTGCTTTTGGTCAGAAAGTGCAAATACCAGGTTTCCTAACAGTTGGTATTTGTGTCTGTATTCATTATAGATGAGCTTTGTGATTTTTGTACGGCCTCACTAACTAGTATTATGATTTGCCATGTGATTTCGGAAAGGGCGTACTCCTAACATGAGTATTCATTATGGCATCCAGATGAATTGTCACCACGATCAACCCTGTATATTTCACCATCGCATCGGACATCTGTAATAAAAAACTCCTGAACCGGAACCCCGTAGTAGAACTTTCATTTCAACCCCTGAGATTAACCTCGTATTGTAACAAAGTGTTTTTGAGATATTTGGTCTGAGTGTAGTGTGAACAAATTATTGTTTTGAAAGAGTTCGGTATGTGACACGAAAACTTAAAGTATTACGGGATTAAAATATGTTTAGGGGACACAATTCTATTAGATTAGATGTATATTTCCACTCCTAGTTCGTGAACAGGGGAGGTGTTTCCAGCAATTGGTTAACAAAATTTTTGGGTTTATTTGGCTTGTTGACAGGCTTTTAGGCTGAGGTTTCCGTGGGTGAATGATAGAAAAGGTATAGCTGGAACCATTTCGAAACTGTTTTGAGATAGTCATTATCTCAATGGAGTCTTAATAATACCATGCTCTCCCCTCTCTTCTTTGGATTATTATACCTAAACAAATGATATTTGGAAACTGAATATTGAAGGTTGTAAACTTTCCTACTAGTGAGGATAGATGACGAAATCGTCAAAGATGAAACCTACGAAAAGGGACACCTCTTTTGAGAGGTATCGAAAAAACATATTCATTGATACTAATTTTGTTTGTGTTTATGGCAGTTTTTGCAACTGGCTTTTAAAAAACGCAAAGCTGTGATGAATCAAATCAGTAGATACTGAAATTCAAAATTCAAGCTCCGCCTCTGGATAGTTATCAAATAATCTGACGTTTTTGTTTGTGTCCTGATTCGACGTTTTTGTAGCTGTTCAAGTTTTTGAATACGTGTAGGGGAGGAGACTTTTGAGAAGCAATGAATTTTATTTTTGTATCATAATTCAGGATGATAATTTATATGACTCCAAAATTTAGAGGTTCATCAAAAACACAAATTTTCCTGTGAATTTCCAATTAATCTTTTTTTTTCTGTAAGTATAATATAGTTTTGAGGAAAAATCCCAAGTACCTAATCCAGGATACTTTCACTAGTCGAACCGTACGTCTGGGAAGACTTAGTATAACCAAATTTCAATTCTAAAAGCAATGCTGAAAAGGGAATTTTGTTATAGAGATGTTTACAGTAATAATGGAAAACTTGAAATTTTCACTATTTGGGTGATAGCAGTCGGAAACTTTTTGGTTTCTGGGTTTTGAGAGTATCATTTTTAGTTTGACAATAGAAAGCAAAGAAGAGTTTACTACAGGCTTCCATTTGGCGTTCTATACAGAATATTAGACATTTGAGATATGGTTGACGACGAAAGGATGTGCTGACTGGGTCTGTCGAGTACGTCTGACAGGTATTGCTGGTAATGGAAAGAACGCAGATTTCTGAAGAAATTTTCCCGTGGAAATAGAAGTGAAATGTCGACGACTTCAGTGTTTCGATGATGTCAAGGAGTGAGTGTGTGTATCTGGAAGAAATCTAAGAGCATATTCGGACTTTTTTCGATAATGCGTTATAGTTTCCACTTTTAATAGGAAGTAGTAGCAACTTTGATTTTTCAAATGGAGTGTATATTATGTTTGGAATCTTCACAAATGTTTCAACAACTTTTCTCGATATTTCCTATAGCTATCTGTTAGCGTTTTCGAAATGAAAATTAGGATTTTTTTTTTCTTTTCATAACCGTACCTCTCTCAGTTGAGGGGTACTATGATATCGAAAATTGGTTCAAAGTTATAGGTTATACTTGGAGGTCTTCCACAAAATTCAGCCTAATATTCTCCACTTCATTACAGGGTGGTAAGAAATACAGTTATTTCATTTGCTTGAAGAAGTGACTGAAAGTTGATTATTTCTAATAAAACACCCTGTATATTATTTAAAATTCAGGAGTGCTGTTGATATTCGCTTATGTTTATCATACCTATACCTATAACTCAGAGCCGGACCGTGGGCGTGGCGAAGAAGGCATTTTCCACGGGCGCAAACGACTTAGGGGCGCAAAATGTGAAATATGATATATTCCATTTTAAATAAAGATTGACTAGCTTATGAACCATTATGACCCTATAATGAAAAATCACATAGGGACACATAATAAGAATCAGATTTCTTATTTCTCTCATGAGATACAAGATGAGTTGATACATTTGGTTTCCACAAAAATTAGGAAACACATCATAGTCAATATATACAGAAAGCCACATATTTTTCAATTTTATTTAACTGTACACCAGATGTATCATATCTAGAACAGATGACTCAAATATGCAGATATGTTGAAATTGATTCCGATAAGTGTACTATTAGTATTGAAGAAAGTTTTCTCGATTTCATAACAGCTAATATTGTTTTGTATTTTTCTATGATTCTATCAATTGAAGTAATTTAATTGTTGTCCATTAATGTCATTGCAATTATTGTCACTGTAGCCGTCATTTTATTTAATTATATTATTTTTATTTATGTTATTATCACCATACTATTTCATTGTTATAGATATGAATAAAAAGTGTATAATTCCTTGAATGTACATGTACTCGTAAACAATGATATAAAGATAACCCATACTCGACCGTAAGGTTCTTATAGGTTTACTCGTACTTGTTTATACATTACATGGTATTCATCGAATCATTTTATACCATATTGATGAATAAACATTATTATTATTATTAATGAACATACTGGAGAAGCTCTTGCTAAACTGATCGAGGAAAAACTGAAAGCGGATGTATTAGATACTTATAGGCAGGGGCGGACTGGACCGGAGGGCGGGAGGGCGAAGCCCTGCGCGCCTTTGCCCAGTGGCGCCCCTGCCCTAAGAATCCAAGAAAGCAAAGAAAGAAAAAAACGCGCCGCTGTCGCGCTTTACGAAGGCCAGAAAGCAACGTTTTTTTTTTATTTTCAAATGCAGACTTCTTACTTGGAATGACGACTTGTTACTTGGAATTCTGGACCACCTGGTATAAAAAGTATGTGAGCTTTTACATCTCCTCCTTCATCACAACTTGTTTCATCCAACAAGAACCATTTTTGTGTGATGAATTGGTATTTACCTAATCAATTTGGAAATGTACTGAGTGATTCGTTATGAAAGTACCACTTCCTCTGTAGCTATTTTATTTTTTATATTTCAAAAATGAAAAAGAACTTGTCTCACAGGGAATTTTTATTAATTCTAGAATCTGAATTTAAAAAAATGTGAGAGCTTTGAGTAGAACATCTTATATTCAGGGTCCAACGATTCGATAGGGACAGTATTGCTATTTCCTAAACGGTTAGAGATAGAAATTTGATCAGATTGAACAAAAGTTGCGTCAACCTCTTCAATATGACGTTTTACAACTTCAGAAAATGTCAGCCGTTCCTGAAATATTTTGAAAAAACTGAAAATCACTGATTTCGCTTTTATTCATTTGCTTAGTTGATATTTGGGAAAAACTATTGAAATTTTGTACAAGCAGATGATTTATCATGATGAAGAAGTTGGGATTGTCAGAAATATTTTTCAATATTTTCAGATATTTAACATGCAACTTATACGTTTTTCTTATGGGCGCTATATCTGTTCTTTATATACCATTGAATGAAAATAGCGCTAAAGAACAGTAGAAACATTTTCAAATGAGGCCATGAAAATAACTCAGTCAGTCGTCATGACTACAATATCAATACTACTTCTTAATAACCATGAATAACACGCTACATTATTACAAAAGGCAAAGAAAAAATCAAAATATAAATGTTTCGTTGAATAATAGAGATACTATTTCCTCTAACTATTATTGAAGATTTTCATTTAGTGTAAGACTTGGTCTTGACATAAGTTTTATTCCAGTTATATTTCTATGATCAAATTAAAATTGGTAAAGCTCTGAAAATATTAAGATAGAATATTTCTGAGAATCCCTACTTCTTTTTCATCCATGATTAATTACCTATACACACAAAATTTCAATATTTTCTCTCTAATATTAACCAAGAAAATAATCAGGAACTGAATCAGTGATTTTTAGTCCTTTCAAAATATTTCAAGAATGGCTGACATTTTTCGAAAGTCCTGAAAAAAAGTGAGAATGATTGCAAATCTGATCAGTAAAAAATTAAATTGTTATCATTGTCATGGCCTATACTCTCAAACACCATTCAAAATCGATGAAACTCTGTTTGTTTCGAATTGTTTTAAAAGCCCATATTCAAAGGAATACATGCAGAATGAATACATGCAGAGGATGATGATTTTTCAGAAAGTGAGAATGTATCTGTTTATTCGAGAAGGAAGTTATATCATATATCAATGATCGGGGTTGTCTCCAATTTTTTATGCAATATTCCAATATTGGGCCAAATCCGAGTTGAGATTCGGAATAAAAAAAATGGTGCACTTCTACGCCTCTGTATAAACACTCAGACAATCATTTCATGTTGCGCCTTTTGATCCACAAAGCCCTCTAGCTTTTTTCAACCCAGTCCGCCCCTGCTTATAGGAAATATTAGAGGCCAATCTTATGATAATGCTGGAAATATAAAGATGTCGAAAACTAGAATTTTAAAGAACAACGAATTCGCAAGATTCATTCCCTGCTCAGCACATAGTCTGAACTAAGTTGGAGTTTATGCTGCCCAAGTTTCACCCAAAATTAGGACTTTTTTTGGAACAGTTCAACAAGTGTTCAACTTCTTTGTGAGTTCGACTATGAGATGGGATTCATTCAGAAAGAAATTAAAAGTAAGTATCAAGGGATCTAGTGACACGATGGTCGACCAAATATAATTCTGTTCATACTTTAAACTGGAAATTGTAATAGATATTCTTGAAGAAATGTCCGATGGCAGTAATTGAAATAGAGATACATCAGAAGGTGCAAAGCTTTTGCTGAAGCCCATGAAGCAATTTATTTTTATTGTTTTCCTGTTGTTTTGGGATGAAGTTCTTATGAAGATTAATGAAATCAATCTGGCACTACAGAACCAAAGATTAAATGTTGATGGTGCAAAAATGATAAAAGGACTATCTGATGAAATTCATAATTATAGATCTGATTTCTTCAAGTCTCTATTAGAATCCTTCAAATCATTCTCTGAAACGATCAATATTGAAGCTGATTTTGGAGATGAGAGGAAACGGAAATTTAAAAAAAATGCCAGGAGAAGAAGCTAATGATGAGGCTTCCATTATGGATAGGAAAAGTCTTTTGAAAAAGGAACTCCTTCAAGTATTGAACTCCATATCGATGCAATTTGGAGAAAGATTTACTGCTCTGTCAGAAGTTTCTGAAGTCTTCAATTTTTTGTTAAAGGAATATCTATAAAAGAGTCTTCACTTGGTGAATTGAAGAAGGAAGCTGCGGATTTTGCATTGAAATACAGTTCCGATTTGGATCCCTATGATTTCTCCAACGAATTAGAGAGATTCAAATTTCAAGCATGTGCTATGTTTATGAGAGTATCTACTTTGTTAGAATATTTGTTGTCAGTATTATTGTTTTTGTAGATACCAAAGAAAACTTAGGTTTTAGTTTATTGATTAACACAGTATATATCAATGATTTTTATTATTGTTTATTTCCAATTATTTTGTTGATGATTATTAATTTATATACTTTGTTTGAATATCAGTGGTTAGAATAATTTTTCAGTTATTTTATTCATTCACTCATTTATTTATTGTTGTCTTCATGTTCTTTGAGCATTGGAATTGAAGCCAATGCTGGATCAGCGCCTGCTAGGAGTTGAAGAGGAGGAGCAGTGGTGATACAAATTGCATCAGGTGAGAAGTATTGCAATAAAAATAATTATTCTCCAGAAATTTAAGAAGAACACCAATTCCTACCTTATTTGTCTTGGTTCTCATGATGTTCTCTGAACATTACAGGATATCCGTTTTCGTGGGAACCAGAACATAAAAAAAATTCCTGCTTTTCATGGTCCAAAACTCCAAACCTGACTAATGATTACGTTCTAAACTGGAATAACTATAAGGGTTGCTCTTGGGGTTTCTCCAGATATGTTTTAATGTAGAAGTTTACTGAAGAGAAGACACTTATTGTAAATTAGATTTTATATAGGTGCAACCCAAAACTGCAAAGTTAATTTTTTTTGGGTTTTTCATAAAATATCACAGAGAAACCCAGTAAACTTTTCAAAATTAAGAAGAATTTATATTTACAGTGTTTTGAGGACATCAACTGTGCACCTAGTATCTATAGTACCTGATGCAAGTTGTATATCCCTCTTCAATTTCAATAAATATCAAATATTTACCTGTAATAGTATCACACACAGTTTCTCTGAGATTAAGAATGTGCTGGTTAACAATAACAATTGCAAACAATGATGACAGTGCTCTACCAGAACTGAGCAACATGTTTTGCATTTTCCACCATCTTGGTCCTAGAGCATTCCCTATACTCTGTTCTCTTTCAAGAATGGATAAAATAAACACATTATTGGGATAATTTTCAATGGCTGTATAGAGCACATCATCAAGGAGTTTGAAGAATCCACCATATTTTGTTTCCATACTATATTTGAACAAAACTGCAATATAAAATTCATAAAGTATTTCTTTTTGCCAGCTTGCTTCAGTACTATTGTCTTCAAGCTTTTGTAAAATTTCAGCAAGAAATGAATAACACTCTGTAGGTCCCTTCCTCAAATATAAATACCAACCATGAATTATAAGCCAATCAGTAGCAAAATCTGGTAGAAAATGTTGGAGTGTAGGCAAATTGGAAACTTTTGTTTCTATTATCTCAGCAGAAATTGAATCTAACTTAGCCTCAACCTTGTTCAGTATGTTCTCATTTGGTTGAATATCCTTTTGAATCAAAACCATCTCACAAATCAACTTCAATGCATCTTCATTTCTTTCAGACCTGGTATAATCATCACATAGTTTTGAGCATAGTTTCATCTGTATTAAATTTTTATAGAGATAACACCAATTTTTCTGATTGTTTGGCCAATTTTCTGTAACAAACTCAGTTTGTTTATTGAAACTTAGTGCTGTGTTTATTATTTTGAAGCAGTTATCCTTATTTCCTAGTTCATACTCTATGAGAGCATATTCCAAATAGTATATTTCATTTTGTCTATTTTCATCATGTTTCAGAAACTCCCTTACAGTTTTCTTAATCTTTTTCTTGAAAGAATCAGCCAATATAAGAAGTGTTGATTTATCCAATATTATCAATAGTCTCTGAAATCTGAAAAACCATACAGTAATTGCAATTTTATTGTCTCCAGATAAACAATCTGAGGAATTTTCCATAATCTTCAGTATAAACTCCAAATATTCTTCTTGTCCAGGCAGTTTCTTCAAATACTGAGGGCCAACAGCTAATCTATTATCAGTCCATAAGTGTTCATTTTCCATTTCAACTGGATAAATGGGTAAAAACATAGATAACAGAGGTTCAATGGAGTCCAGACTCCAAGGTACATAGTCTAACCCTAGATCTTGCATGGTAGTATGGCGACAAGGTAATAAAGGAATTTTAAGAAGAGTAAAAATAGTGGCTGTCAGCTTGAATATATTTTCAGGCTTTGTTATAGGGTGTATAAGTTCTGCAACATCTTCAGTAAATACAATTCTTTGAGGGTCTTCACAATTATTATCCTCTTCTGTGTATGGTACCCAATGACAAGACTCCCTTAATCTTTCAGTACGCAGCCAAAGTTCATGCAAAGGTAAGTTAGATGTGAAAATGATATCTTCTAATTCAGTCAACTGATTTTCTCTGAATCCTGAGGATATGTTGAATTTTGACTTATCATTAGAAGATAAATTCAATTCTAAGTACATTTTCAAGAGTGTCCAGAGCTGTTCAAACAATCCAGCTTGCTTCAAAAACAAGCAGCACTGATAAAGCATTCTCAAAATAGACTCTTCAAGTAGATACTTCTCAACAGATGTGGATCTTCTCAACTGATGCAAAGTTGATAAACACTTTGAATATAAATTCAAAACTGCAGGAGTGTTGCAATGGGACATAGAACACTGTGTGGCTTCAATATATCCTTGCCACAATATTATATTACTCTTATCTTTATTCACAAGTTCTTTCAAGTAATTCTGAAGTTCATCTGCTGGAAAAGCAGTAACTGCTATATTCAATCGTTTCCGGTGAAGTAAGTCACAACTTGAGTTGAGAGATACTGCTTTATCAATGATAGCAAGTTTTCTTTGTGCTAGAACAATTTGTGCTTTAGCAATACTACCCTTTCTATATGTTTTCTCAAACTCATACACTGTATCTTGGAACTGAATATATTCTAACCATACCTTTATGTCAGCAGGAAAATTTGTTAAATGTCTGTTGTAAAAAGCAGTTTTCTGAGACAGTTCTTCCTCATGTTTGAATCCACTATAGTGGTCATCTCTTTCAGCAAATTTCACAGTATCAAGATTGTGTTTGGTCAAAACCAGTTCATCCTCTGTTTTATTGATAAGTTTTTCAGGAATGTGTTGATGATATCTTTTATACTTTTTCTTGGAATATATATATTTATGTGATGCATTCAAATGTAATGTGGCATGGTATTGGGGAGCTGAAGGGCGTGATATAGTTGATACCATCAGTAATTCCCGATTTCCTTTAGGATTTACTTCGAAAAACTCATTTTCTTCAATAGTGGTTGTAGAGACTACTGATATCTCATCCCCTCTTCCTTTTTTCCTAGTTTTTTTCTTCAATGACTTTTTTCTTTTTCTGGATGTACTAGCAGATTTTGATGTTTCTCCTTCTAGAATTGAATCACTATCAGTTCCAAACTTTCCCAACGTTATATTATCACTTCTACTTGGGGACCTTGCAATGAAGTGGAAACTTGAATTCTTAAGCCATGTTTTATCAGAATCTTTGGTTGCACTTGCACTAGTTGATTCCTGTACTGCTTGTTCTGCAAACGCAGGAAATATTGACATATTTAGTAGGATATTCTCATTAGAGAAAATCAACCCACTCTCAGAAAACTGGAGGGTCAAGTATTTCAGGTTAGGTTTATTTGTTCTTCTTCTTCTTCTTCCCTTCAGATTGAATGGCCTTAGCTGCCTGGGCTATCTGGCCAAGTACACGCCTCCTTAAGTTTCTCCTCAATGGGGATCCACTTCACAGTGGGACTGAAAGCTTTTTATACCCCCTGAGGAACCTGTCAAAAATAATCACTTTACAGTTATTTCAATCTTTCACCACTTCTGCACTAGGAAATCTACAAGCAATTTCAAGCAAGGTTTATTTGTTATGATTTCATTGGTTATGATAAGGATCCATCTAAATCCATCCTTGTCATGATATGAAAAAAAAATCAGCCAGATTTTTAACAACCATGACTTTCGGTATTGAGATATTTTTCAATCCATCAACAACTATCAACTAGGGTCCCTATGGAAATTGACGTTAAAGTCAAGTCATGACTTGACTTCAACGTCAATTTCCATCAAGGGACCCTACCTACTATTAACATGCTATCAACATGAATTCCATGAATGAAGTAATGAAATTGAATGTGGTGATCAAATTAATATTCCAGTCTTGAAATGTGTATAGAGAATCTGATTCGGGTATATCGATTTCCAGTAGAAGCTGATTCAAGTTTAGTTATCTATTTGTATTCATTTATTTCAAATAATAGGTATATATCACGAATAATGGAAACTCTGCATATTTACAATTGTATATGGGTATCATCTTGATGATTTGTTCACAAAATTGAAATACATGCCCCAAATAATCAAGTAAAATGAACATACATTTTCAATGAACAACCACAAACAATCACAGATTCATTCGAAGTATTCAATCAAATAGGAATTTTTCCTCTCCCTGGCTGGCATATTATTTTATTGCAGCTTGAAAGAATCCGTGGTTAATTGAGTGATTTTTGTATTGTAATTTTCCCTCATCGTAATCGATAAACTCTTCGACCCTTTCTTCATTATGCGGAACCTTGGATATATTTTGTCTGTGATCGAAGATCAGAGTAATATATCGTTAGGCCCAATTCGGATCAACCTTTGAAGGTTTATTACTACTGTATCATTAGAATCTTTGGAAAATTTGACATTTCGCAATGGGGGAGACCACTGATTTTTTGGAACGACATTATCGTGAACTCTTTACTGAAAAACTACCAGTGAATTAATTTTTAATTTTTTCATTCATGCTAAGACTATGAAAAAAATAAATTAGAATATGTCCATTCCTAAACACACAATTCCTGCGCTATTTGGAATTTTGTCAATTCATTGGTGGGACTGGTGCGACGTCTTAGTCCCAACACGCCTATTGTCCTAACTCACCAATCACACTGCAACACTGCAGAATGATGAGATATCAGAGAGAGATAGCTACAGTGCGGGACTAATACGTCACAGCTCCACCATCATATTTGGCTGTTTGAATTATCGAATGAAATATGCTGATTTCAGAACGATATAGATTCGAATTCCTTCAACTTCAACTCATAATATTGATTATAGATCAAACGTAAATCATGATTCGTCGATTGAAAGAGGTTTACACGAATTTCTTCCTCCAGTGGTCTTCCCCATTGGTGACAAACACGTGACATGAAACAATAACTTTGGTCACAGAGCACTGAAATTATACACTGTTGCCAAGTGTAAGTGATCCTTTCAGAAGGAATACTCAATGATGGATATTGTTAAGATATGGGATATGGGTGTAATTATACGTATGCGCTTTTGTTTCAGAGATTTCACCTGACCTCTCGAGAGCAGCGAGAGCAATGGTTCCGTTGGTCTTCTAATAGATGGCGACATTGCACAATCATGACTTTTGTCAGTTTTGAAATTGTCGCAGATTTTTCGAATTCAGAGTTGTTGGTTCAATCCCACTGTTACATGTTCCGAGTTCCGTGTACCTAAAATGGCTTTTGCCATTTTATTTCCACCCGTCACAGCAGCAATAGCAGCATCACCATCTAGCGGGAAAATGTAGAATCAACGTCTCGCTCGTTGTGACGTAGAGAAATCATAGTAGGCCGGTCGAGTGATTCTTCTGAAATTTTCAATACGTAATAATGGCCGAATCCGAATACGCTCACCATATCTCACTTCCATCATTGGATACTCAGAAGGGAAGTCTATGAAACAAGTTCAACATCAAGTACTGAGGGGTCTTCAAGGGATCCTCAGATAAGGAAGACTTGAGGAGTTCTTAAGGAAACGATTATAAATACGGGCCCTAGACCAGCGAATCTTTCAAACATCGAGGTCAAGTGACGTCACCCACAACACATTAAGCGGCGTTCACAACCAAACTTTTTACGTTTTGCTTTTTACGTTTCGTATTCTGATTGGTGAAGCAAAATCTGTAATTGAAATGACGCAAAAAGCTGAAAATATTCAGCTTTTTGCGTGGCAAAAGCCATCGTCTCTGAAAATAGTAAAAATAGACGAATAATATATAAAACATCCTGTAATAATATGGAAGGTAAGTATGATAATGTTTTCATGATTTTCTCATGAATCAACAGAATAGTAGATAGGTATACTGTTCAATTCATTATTTTCTTAGTGAAGATTGATTTTTTTCTCTTCAAGTATTGAATAAGTACCAATTTTCATCACCGCCAGTTTTATCAATTCAATATTATTAATTATCTGATCAATTTTATTGTTACAATTATTTACTTCATTTCAGGATGAAAAACAAATAACAAAACCAAGGCAACTGATCCATAAAAAGTCACGATTTTTTGTTGTTGTGAATGACATTTGCTATGATTTGCTCACGTTTAATTTCAGATTCTGCTTCACCAATCAGAATACGAAACGTAAAAAGCAAAACGTAAAAAGTTTGGTTGTGAACCCCGCTTTATATATCTTCCTCACGAGTACAACGAGTAAATAATAAAATAGTGGTCTGCTGATCAGTATTTTGGTGAAGGTGGTGGGAGGCAGCTACGTCATAATGACGTCAACATCAACCATTTTTGAAATCCTAATTCTTTTTCCCTAACCAGGTCACCCAGTTACATCCTCAGGTTATTTCATTTTGAATTCGAAACAAAAAATATCAATTGTTTATGTGTTATTGTTAATGTGTGAACCTAATTGTTCATGTCTATGAAAATAAAAAATGAGGAAATTTAGTTGTGTGCAACTATGTTGTTCATGATGGATGATTTGACCTCTGTTTTGTTAGGAGGAAAAGACAGATCACTTCATTCGATAAAAGAGATAGCATCATCGGAGTATTGCCACAATCACTGCTCTAAGAGGTATCAAGTGTCATTATTTCAGGAATCGTAATTTCTTATAAACCTGGATAAATTATTACCTAGAATCAGATTTCTATCGAATGTTCCGGATGTGGAGAGATAGTTGGAACCATTAAGCAATGAGTATAGTATAGGTTCTCCTCTTCGCAAATAGATCCAAAATATATTGTTGAAGGAGCTTGTCATCATTGTGGAAACATGAAATTACCTAAATGAACTTTTAATTCGTACAATCGCCCGTGTATCTCTTACATCCACTTTATTGATTTGTGATTTGAGTGGTCAAGAATGGATCGAAACTATAATAACTTCATTGGGAATATTTGGAATTCCCATTTCATTTGGGAACAGTACAATAACCTAGTCTAGATCATATTCATAGAATTAGATCACAGGATATCAGTAGAGAATTACGATATTCAAAGGAGATTATAGTTCAGATTTCAATTCTATTATTATAAGTAAAGTCGCTGACGGGCAGAAACTGCTGGTTCTGGATTTCTCCTAATCGAGGTGAATACACTTGTTTTCATGCTGAACCAATTACCACTAACAAAACCGACATGAGAAAGTATTGAAGAAAAAACCGGCAGTTGTGGTTCGGACAATGGACCGTAAAGTATAGTTTTTTCCATTTTTTTCAAATTCGCTAACAAAAAAGTAAATCTTGAACATTTTTGCATCATGTCTCAACTTCGTGAGTGGCAGTTCCAATCCTCCAACGAAAAGCGAGCCTTTCTGTAAGTACGTTTTTTAATATAACTAGTTTTAGTTTTCTTGTTTTGTTTTTATTTGAGTTGGATATATCTTGCTGAAAAATTGGTCAATTCATCTCAAGCCCGAAATGTTTTTTAATAAAGATGAATACATTTGTGAAGTGGAGTTGAAATCTTCGATTATATTCTTCATAAAACCTCTTGCAAGCGAGTAAGTTTGAGTTAGATTGTGGGGGTTAGAACCCACTCGTGACATTATGGTGGAGGCGCCCTGCTCTTTCTTGAATGTTAATTCTTCCTAATTAACCTGATTTCAGTTGAAGTTTTTATGTGTTGCAATTCGATCAACAATGAGATACTCCACACCATTTCATATACATTCATTACCTTCTCTTTTTTTCAGGGGAGGAAATCCTTCATGGACACCGGTCGCTTTCTGACAATCGCGAGCCGGTAGTGCCGGCTTTAATAATAATAATAATAATAATACATTTATTATCCACAAAATATATAAATAGTACAGGGTACGTAATATAACAGAATTCAAGTGGATAAATGGCTATAACTGGTTCAGTTGTGGACTAATCCACCCCTGTTCTTCCACCAGTGCCAGTGAAATTGAAGAAAGAAATTTGAGAAGCAAATGATAATTTGAATGTAAAGAAACGATATTTTGAAAGAAAATGATAGGAACCAAGAGGGAGAGGAAAAAGTAGAGAGCGAGAAGGAAAAAAGGAAAAAGATAGGGAAAGTGAGTAACAACATAGATTAGTTGATTTGTAAGTTCATTTCTGCATGGACAAAAGATACTTTTTATATTTAACTTTAAATGATTCGGTAGAAGATGATAGCAGTGAAGGATCTAATCTGTGCAGATTGTTGATACAGACTGCCAAACCATAAGAGAACGAGCGTTTATAAATAATTTTTTCATGTCTCGGCACACGAAGAAGGGTTTTTCGTC